TTATCCACCTATAATGATACTCGACCCAACATATGTTGGCTCTCCCTGTCATGTGATCTTTATGAAGTTGATCTAAATTTAAAAGTTGAACGGGGAATTATTTTTCCGAAGTCAAATTAGAACAAAACCCTATCAACCTGGTGAAATTCAACTATGGCGAAACAAATAAGAGGAATGTAGGCTCGATAGACCACGAGAACCTCTATAATAATCAATGGAGTGATATTGTCTGTGATATAAGGCGTCCAAAGGAACTACAATAAATTTCATAATATAAGAGGAAAATATTTTTAAAAAAATTACAAGAAAAGTTTCACTAAGAACCATTTCGGGATTCAAGTCGTCTAATAACTTCCTTATAACTCACACTACGTTGGTAGGGTGATTTTGTTGAAGTGTATGTGCAAAATCCCACCTCTTTATAAGTGGAAAGCCAACTCCTACCAGAATCTCTTCAGTTATTAAGGGGTTGATTGATGGAGAAATTGTCTTAATGTGTTCCCATGCCTAATAATACAATAGAAGGATGCACGCTCCAATGTTTTCTTGGGTAGTTTTAACTCCATGGTCTAAAGCATGATATTAGCATGCCTAGACCGTCAAACCCCAACTGTAATTTGAAACTGAATTTAAGTCTTCCAACTAGAATCTGTGCACGAGCAAATTAGGCAATGATTTTTCTAGTTGTGTCATCTGGTAGGTCTTGGAAGTTGTCATTCAACCAAGATAATTTTATTATGTTCCCTTTACCGTCATTAGAAGTTCATTGAGAAGAATATGGTTGTACCTTAGTTTATTGCATAAGACATATCACCTCAAATTTCAGTAAAAGATTAATAAATATTGAGCTTAAGCAACAATTAGTAAACATGGGTATGTTAAATCATTTTCCACATTTATTTTACAAATGACCAAATATGAAAATTCTTAATTGTTAGCTTTCACATGGTATAAAATGAAACAACCCACTCTACACGCAAAGTTGATGGCTATAAGATCATAATTCCGTTAAGCAGTGCCTTGGATTGATCAAATTCCATTAGAAAAATGGACTTAGAGATATGATGGCGGTAAGAGATATGGCTACATGACAACAAACCTAGCGGAATGCATGAATTCAATATTAAAGGTCGCGCGATCCTTACCAATTTATGCTTTAGTAAAGGTGACATTTGAAAGAACAATATCTTGGTTTGTTTAATGAGGAACTAAGATCGAGTGCATGCCACAATGAAGAGATCAATATCTTGAAGATATTACTGCTATTTTTATATAAAATGAAATATAATCTGCATATGTCATGTCTAAAGATTTGATCACTAAAATTTAGAATTAATGTTCAATAGGTAGTCACTCCACAACTAGGATGCAACCCTATGTCATACACGGTTAAATTAAAGGAATGGTGGTGTGATTGTGGTGAGTTCCAAGCTCTTTGGTTACTGATAACGGTTGAAAATACCATTATCTGTGATGCAATTTTGATACTAAATCAACCCTTTTTGGACTTAGAAGCTTGCTTGAACTCATGTTTTTAGTTTAGTTTTGTGAATACGAGAGTTGAAGTTATACTTGAAGTTTATCACTAAATTGTCTTGATTTTGTAGGAAATTGGAATGATTTGAAAGAGGAGAATCAAGACTGATTGGTTCAAGAAGACAGACCGAACGATGTGATAGAGGAGAATGCAGACCGATCGGTGAGAGGAGATAGACCGAACAATGTAATAGACTGCACACCGAACGGTGTGAGAAAGAAGAGGTCGATCGGTCAACAGTGTGAGGTCGAATGACTAACAAAGTGAAACAGATCAGTCCATGACACTTGCTCGACCTAGAACCGATCGATCAACAATGTGAGCGCCAACAATGTTGGCCCATGGCCCAATTCAGCCCTATTTAAGGATTTGTTCGACCTAGAGAGGGATCCTTTTGACAAAATTGACACAAATTCAAAATTTTCAACTCTTTGGAGGCAGAAGTGGATGCGGAAGCTCTCTTCTTCAGTTTTTAGGGTTTTTCTATCTATTTCATTTCATTGTTCATCTAGTTTCTCTATGATGATGGGGAACTAAACCTTATTTGTTGTTGGGGGATGATGTAACCTTGTGAACTCTCATGTATTTGAATTGATTCCAATATTTTTATGTTTCTTTCATTAATTGTTAGGGTTATTCTTCTTTGCTCAATGCTTGTTATGTTTAACTCATTAATGGCATGATTATTGGTTTTCGTGATGGGGACACATACGGGGAAACCTAGATTTGGAGAATTGCTCCCAAAAGCAGTATTGCCTAGACATAGGGATATGAGTTTTGGTTATCTTAAGCTTCTAAGCGTAATGCAGAATTAATTATTAGGATACAAGACATTGTGAACTAGTAATTAAGGATAGACTTTCTTCGCCGAGACATCGGGTTTTAAGTAATTTAGAAAGTGATATTGACATTAATGAAGAAGCTGAATTCATATATGCATGAGAGGAAAGTCGGTGAAATTTAAACCCCAACAACATATTCATCTCATATTTTCAATATCATCCATTCATTATTGTGTTTTTTTTTCTTTCAACAGGTTAAAATTGCATTCATGTTTATTTTTATTGCATTTGCATTCAAAACCCCTAAATTGTTCTTCAAAAGTCTTAATTAGTTAGTAATCACATAACTGTTTAGTGTCATGAGTCCTTTGGGAAACGATATTTGGTCTTACCATTTTATTATTACTTCATACGATTCGGTACACTTGTCGAGGTCTTAACAATTACCTTGTTCTCATGTGTTTGCGGTTTGTTCTTTTTGTCATCTACAAATATCAACATTTATTATCCCTGTGTACAACCTTTATAATATCTTCAAGACTTATGAGATCCAAGTCCATCTAATTCAAAATGAAAACTATAGATCTTCTTACACCGAACCACATTTCATACTTGACCCTACTATGAAACATCACCAAGTAGGAAGACCAATAATTAATCATATCTCTAACAAAATAGATTAGCAAATCCTTAACAAACCTAAAAAGTGCTCTTATTGTCGAAATGAAGGGCAAAATAGAAGTAATTGTCCCTGTAGAGAATCCTGATTATATATGCTTCACTTGTAATTTCAATCATAATATGTCTTACTTTTTCATTAAACTTTTCTCTAAATTTTGTATACACATTATCTTCTAACATCCACCATTAACAAACCTAAAATTATCTAAAACATACACAAAAATTAACTTACCTAAAATTATCTAAAAACATACACCACGAAGGTGAAAAATAATGAAGTCAGTGTGCCAAAGTGAACTTATACAACCAACAAAAAAATTAAAATGGCCTAAAATGAAGTCGTTAGACAAGTACATGACTTTAGTTCTTTTGATTCTAGGGTGAAGTTGTCAACCACTTCTACGATTTTGGTTTCATATATTTGAAGTTGAAGTCATCAACATGTGTCATAACATAAATTCAAATTGGATTATACTGAAGTTGCAAACCTTAGGCACGACTTTTGAAATTAAACTTAGGTTGAACTTGTCAATCATATGTATAATTTTACTTAAGATTGAAGTCGCCAATTATATATACGACTTTAGTTAATAGTGGTGATTAATTAAGTTTAATCTCGCTAAAGTCGCCAAACCTAAGGATGAATTTAATATTATTAAGAAATTGTGCAAACATTTCACAAACTTTCTCACGAAGAATTCATCACCACCATGTACTACTTAACCCTTATGTTAATTAATTTAAAATGTGACCCAGATACGTAAATTTGAAAATAAATTAACCCTAATATGTAAAAACTTGAAAACACAATACACCAAACACATAGTGTTTATTAAAATAAAATAAAAACAACTTCAAACACTTATACGTGTCTACCATTCATTAACTTACATCACTACAACAAAATCAATTGTCTAATATATTTCTCAGTCCAACTACTTCCCCTTATGTCATCAACTATTAACATCATATGTCAACTCTACTTCCGAAAAGCTTGTGCATTAAATTAAATTCATATATTAATACTTAAAATAAATAAATTAGTTTCACTTACATGTGTTAAGTTCCTTAAGAGCTCCAAACTTCCACTCATAAAATACGAAACCTATATACATAAAACTCTTATTAACAATCTAAACATACCATAACAATTATAATCAAATAAAAATTACTCTTATACTCAATTTAATCACTTGTAATAAAAAAACTTTCTAAAACTTCTAAAAATTGATTAAAAAAAAGATAAAGATGAATTCATTCACAAAAATTGGATCAAGTAGGGTTCTTCTACTCTAAACAATAATATCTATGACGGATCCTGATATTAAAAATATAAACAAATTTATCAAAACTTTAACACACACACACATAAATACTATATAAAATCGTAGCATCTTTTAGGTTTCAATTTAAATCTCAATTTTAACTAAATTGTGCATATGGTTTCTATTTTCTCTTGATACTTAATTAATTGTACATATGATTCTAGGAAACTAATTAATGTGGAGCATAAATTTAATTTGTCAATAATCACTGTCTTTATTAACATATTTGCTCAATTCGTAGATTTTTTTTAATCCTTTTTAATGCTATCACCTCGTCTTCCAACAAAAAATTGATGAAGTGATAACGTATACTAATGTACCTTATTAAGAAAGAAATACTGTATTCTTTCTCTATAGTAATATCTTTCAAAAAATTTCCTACTGAGGCTTGGGACCTCTAGATTTAGTCCATCCATATGTGTAATAAATTCCTCCTCTGGTTTTAGATGTTATGTTTATTCCATTGATGATGCTTTTAGTGCCATACTTGGATTTATCCTCAGAAACTCTACTGGTTTTCATTCAATTTAAAAGTATGGCTGAAAATCCATTTAATAGAAGGATCAAAATCCATCCTACAATTTGACGGTGGAGAAGAATACAAATATTTTAAAATGCTGGCAAAAGATACTTCAGTAGTAGTTGAAAACCAAACCTCTTATAATTTGTCATTACAATAAACATAAGTTCCAATTGCATAAAAGATACGACAAATTATTATCAAAGGTTCTGATAAATACAAAACATTCTCCATCTTTACTTTTTTATATCTTTCACTCCTTCGCTACTCGTGCCATGTGTTTCATCATCTGCACCAAAACCTCACTCCATGTGTCTACAGGCCCAGGCAAACACCAATGCACACAATCATTCTGCACAACCTTTGGAACACCATTAGCAAATGGGAAAGGATTCATATAGGCACCAGGGTGGCCATCTGGTCTCAACAATGCTAACTTTGTTACATCAAGTACCTCCAACCTAAACCCTTTTAATTTTTTGGCTCTTTTCTTAGCATTTTCCACTTCTTCCATCTCAATCGTTCTTATCTGGGCATCCTCCCCTTCAAGATGTCTCTGTCCAATTGCATAAGGCTTGGTCTTTGAACAAGTACCCCCCTTATCCCAAGAACCTTCAAAATGAGAAGGTGAATATGTTCTTACAATCACATCAAAACTATTATTTCCTTTACCAACCTTCCTCTCGATTATGCTATTAAGAGCAGTCCTCAAAGCCCTTCTTATTGGACCACCAAAACCAATAGCAACGGTGCAATTGGAAACAGGATGCCTCATGCACCCTAAAACTTTACCACCCTCGTAGAAAACTGAAGGAACCATAAACCAGTGCCCAAAGGACAACACAATCATGTCCATTTGATCAATATCCCTTGCCCACCTCATATCAACACGATCCAAATAAACAGTGTTATAATGTGGTCCCGGGTTTTTTCTTTGATCACCTTCCACAAGAAATGGGGACCAATAGAAGGACAACATTGCGTTGTGAGAACGAAACAGCCACCAATGAGAACCTCGGTGGTGAACAATTTTTGGTTTTGAAAAAGTAGACAACATGCAAAGAAGGGAGCTTAGGTGGTTCCTGGACAATGAATCCCCAACAAAAGCCACACGCTTGTTGCTTATGAGTTGGAGAAAAATGTTAGGGTCAAACCTTGGAAGATGGCACTCACTTGGCTTCCATCTCCAGTGAAGGAACCCCGAATCAGGCCTTCCATTGGATAAACAGTTCCGGTTTTTAAAAATTTTAACACAGCTGCTACCATTATACAAAGGGCCTCTTTTGGTACGAACCCATTTGCCATTGGAGTAATCACATAGCTTCTCATCTACTGCCATTACTAAAATAAAATTTAGTTACATTAATTGCCTGAGTAGAAACCAAAAATGCTACAAAATTATAACATACTTTTGTTTTCTATCATAAAAGTTAAGCTGAAATTGTAATTTAATCACAAAAACAAGTGACTGATGCTACCGTAGTTACAGTATTCTGATAATCACAAACATCTGAAAATCTAAATGAGTTTTTTGACATTACAAGAAAGTATAGATAAATATAACTGATGACAGTCTTGTTATGACTGCAGAAAGCTCAGAAACTTGATGGTAACCAAAATGAAAGTTACTAATTAACTGTTTTATTAAAATTATACAAGAGAATGTAGTTTTAACGAGACAAAATTATGCAGCAATGAATAGATACCTGGAAGTGTAGAAGCTGAGAGAGAAGATTGGTTGATGGTGGAAACGAATTCGTTTGGAAGGTGAAGAGGTTGAGAAGGAATGAAAAAGAGATAGTAAAAGTAAACAGCAAAGCAAAGCAACCCAATGGGTGGTAGAAGCTTCATGCTACTAAATCTCTTTTTTCGCTCCTTGGTCTTTCTGGATAACGTCTCTTCACGTAAAGCACGCACGGGATTTCGCTTCAACTAGGATTTTACTATAGTCCATGTCGGTTCGGCTCCCCGAACTCATGTATATATATATCATGAAATATAAAAACTGCATACGTAAGACGTAAAATTTTAAATGAACTGTACATAGTAAATTAAAAATATCGTTTATTCACTTAATTAAATATTATATTTTTATGAATTTAAATATTTTTAATTGAATTCTTATTAAAGTTTTTTGTTTATTAAATTTTTAATAATTTTATATTCTTTTTGTTTCAGTCCGTGTTTTTTAATTTTTTTGGTTAATTGACCGTCATATTTCTTTCTTACCTTCATGCTTTAACAAATATAAAACATCATTAATATTATTTTATATTGATTTCAAATCATCACATTTTTTAATATATTAAAATAATAAAACAAAATAATGAAATAATACAATAGTCACGTCGTTCAATAAAAAAATTAAAAGACATATCCTATTAAATAACATATAAAATACATAAAAATTAAGTATTTAACAACCAATTTTTTTAATAAAAACTCAATTAAAAATATTTAAATTTGTCAATAACATAAAACTTAATTAAATCTAAATTAAAAAATTAAATATTTTTCAAATTTTGATAATATTTTTATTCTCAATTCCAAATTTTAACATAATAATATATAATAAATTAAAAAATATAGATTTAATATTATATTTATAATTAAATAATCTTTTTTAAATGAGTTGAGTCTAATTTGTTTTTTTATACAATATAAATAAAATTATTTTTAACCCAACTTAAACCAGTGTTGTACCGCAAAGGTTTAGACAAGCCCGAGTAGAAGCACAAATTTAAGCAACCCAAAATAGGAGAATCAAATTTGATGTTATCTATCAATTCATGTAAACTATAAAAGGAAGGTAATTATTGTTATCTCTGTCATTTATCTTTCTTAAATGAGAAATTTAAGTAGGAAATATGATTTTATAGAATGTTTTCGAGATCAAGACATCCGTAAGTTTTTAAAATTATTATTGTTAGAAATAACTAAATTTTATTTGATTAGTTAAATTAAAATTGTAGCTGCAAATAATACGTTAATTTTTTTAAAAATTTTAACTGTTAACGAGTTAAATTATTTAATAAGAGTAACTTAATATTTTTTACTAAAATTTTTATTTTAATTCGATAAAGTTATGTTTTTACCGTTTTCATAAAAAAATAAAACCTTATCTTAATTTTTTTTAGTCCCCAAATTTATATAGAACTAAAGAAAATTCGTTTACCAATTAAATGATAGACTAAAAATGTATAAATTGTTACCTCGCATTTACTATTCACTATTCTTCTTTGTATCGTTAATTACTATTTTTAGTAAAAGTAATGTACAGTTAAAGAATATATAATTAAAAATTGCATATATTTAATGCAATAGTTGTATATAAGTATAAATACAACCAATATTTTTCATTTATGGTCCTTGTATTTAAGAGTTGAGAACATGGGTAAATTATCTGAGTCTCTGGATGGTCTTTGAATTTCTTATTTCGTGTAGGGTTTGTTTGGTATCCTGTGGGCTGTTTCTTCTTATACCTCCTTTTTTTCTTCTTGCATTTCTGTAAAATCCATAAATCTCAAACTATCTCTAATTAAATTATATTATAAAAAAGTAAAAGTTATTTTCTAGAAGCCATTATTTCACCCTTTGGATAAATCTCAAACTATCTCTCCATTTCAGCCTTTGGATAACTTGGGTAAGTTGAAGACGTTGAATTCTATGAGGAAATTGGTGTCCAGATTGTCAAAATGCCAAAAGAAGTAGCTCAGTAACAATGGACGGAAGCATGACGATAAACTACTTGGAATTACCTATTTTTGGGGGTCTTTGTGGCAGAAGTTTTTCAAGGAATTACCTTTTGTGGAATTCTTTTCTAAAGGAGTTTGCTAGTTTTGGAGGCTACTCACATGACATTTTTGGAGGTGTTCAAGGAATTGCATAACAAAGGAGAAGAATTTGACAGAAAGCTCTCATTATTGTTCTGAAAATTTGTTTGGCTTTGATGGAGTTATTGGTAGTTAATGCATGTTTGGTTAAGAGAGGTTTAGGTTTCCATTCTTGTTTGTTTTTTCGAATATGTAATTCAAAATGTAATTTTTTTTAATATAATTCAGATTGTGTAATTTAGAAGAATTTTTTTTAATCTAAAACTATATTTTAGAATGCACATTTCAATTGTTTGTTTAATGATGAATTTTGGATTATACGATTTGTAACATATTTTTAGGTTCATAAAATATCAAAGAAATTTATGCACTCAAAGTGTAGGTTTCGATTTAAAAAAAAAAAAACCAAAGTTTATAACTCTATCACTTAGATAAAATATTTTAAAATAGCAGTGACATTTTTAAAATTATTAGAAATATTTAGACAATAGTTTTCCAACCATCGAAGCCTGTTTTCATGAGTCAGAGTATATAATATAAGATTATCATATGACTCCATATAAAAAGAATTTGAGGAGAGCCTTTGACATTCAAATAATAGTTCTTAGGAAAATTAGTTTATGTTTATGTGTTTTTATGCTTTGAGCTTTTGTTTAGAAATTAGTTTATAATTTTATGGTTTTATGTTTTTGGATTTGGATTTCCTTTTAGGACTTTTAATTTTTTTTAAACTTTTGTGTTTATATGAAAAGGTATTAAAAGTTGATGTAAATATTTTTTAGTTATATATTGAATTTGATTTTAGTAAAGAGAGAATTATGTTTGGTCTTGACTTATCTTATAAAAAATTAACATATTTATGTCGAATATTTTTATTGTGACTCTTTATTATCGGTTTTATCAAAGACTAACTTTGTGGTAAATCTATTGTGACATCTATCATTGCTATCAAATTCTATATTTGATTTCCGTGTTTAATTTTTAGAAGAAAATCAATAAAAAAATAATCATAATCATAATTTTCAGTATAGGTTTGAATTATTCAGAAAACTGAAACGTATATCTTTAACACTCAAGTAAAATATTTTAAAATAATAATAATTTTTAAATAAATAGGAAAACATAGGTTTCAGTTGCTAAATAATTGAAGCCTTTCTAGTCCAAATATAGGTTTCAATTATTAAGTAATTCGAAGTCTATAAATTTTAAATAATTTAAAATATGTCAGTCGTATTTTTAAGAGCTTCCTTCTTTTTAAATCCAAAACATATTAAACTAAGTTAAATGCACTAGTACAGTTAGGAGAAATGACAGCGATTGTTTTTTCTTATAGGCAGCGGTTCTCGAATCGAGGCATATTCAGACGAAACAAAAAGTGTAATACTTTTGACATCGGGTGTGAATCGAGGCATAAAGGGAGAGGATATGGCATCGGTTCAACCATAACCGAAGCAATAGAGTTTTTGGTTTTTTTTTTCGTAGGACTATATGCCTCGGTTCAGGGGAATCGAGGCCGTATTTCCCACCCTACTGCCTCAGTTGTAGCATGAACTGAGGCAGTAGAGTCCTTTTTTTTCTCATTCGCAAAACTTTATGCTTCTGGTGTGGTTATAACCGAGACCATAAGGTGCTTTTCTACCTCGGTTTTGACTTGAACCGAGACATATATCCTTGTTTTTTTTAAAAAAATGAGGTATGTTTCTGCAACATTCCCAACAACAGAAACAGACCTGCATATATATTTACAGCCAGAACAGTCCAGAATAATCCAGAAACGTATATTTTGAATGA